TAATTCCAGAATCTATATATAAGGAAAATTATGTAATCATTCATGGGAGCCTAATCTATAACCAGGAGCAGAGATACATAGTGTAATTGTAGGCTTCAGTTTAACTCATAACAACAGAAGGACTGCTCCTATCAGCAGAACAGGAAAGACAGCAATTTTCCTTTACTCCCTGAAACCTCCTGTGTGCCTCTATATCTGTTCCCGGTGGTTGGAAATATCTCTATAACAAGTTTTCAGACAGTTTAAAGGGCAGCAGAAGGGGAGGAAAAAGGAAGTCCCATTGTGGTGAAGCTGAAGAATGAGAGCTCTCAGAGCAAGCCATACTCCTGAGTTTGCAAGACATGAACATGGCTTCCTTGAATGAAAATCCATCTGTAGGGTATTATCCCTCTTTTCATACTGCCTATTCCACTCTACTAAGCATTATTATCATAATATGTCCAAAGTGTGACAGCCTTAAATTAGTAATCTTGGGGCCAACTTCAACTTGGCAGCTTTCCTTGATAGCGATTACCTTGCCACAGTACTTCATGGTCTCAGGACTTAACAATTGCACTACTACAATGTGTTCTACAAAGGATTCCCCTCAACGATGGGTTAGGACCTGCAATTACTGCAAGATTTAACATCTAGATAAAACTAGGTAAAATCTGAGATTGTATGAACGTCTTTGAGATTTCATGATGTTCTTTAGTTTGCACAGGTCTATGTTTTAAAATGGATTCTATTTGTTTCAGGACCAGATCTAATGGTTCGAAGTTACAGGAGGGTAGATTTCAATTGTACATGAGAAAAACATTTTTGGCAGTAAGAGTGGTTTGGTGATGGAACCAATTGCTTAGAGCAGCTTCTCAAACTCTGCTTCCCCAGATGTTTTGGACTTCAGCTCCCGCAATTCCTAGCAGCTGATAAGATGACTGGGATTTCTGAGAGCTGAAGTCCAAAACATCTGGAGGAGCACGGTTTGAAAAACACTGGCCTCAAGAGTGCTGGTGTCTCCTACTCTAGATGTCTTCAAAAGACAGCTGGACAGCTACCAGGTGGGGATGCTTTGTTAAGATCATGCATTAAGCAGGGGGCTGGACTCGATGGCCCATGAAACCATTCCAACTCTATGACTAAATTATTATGTTTAATAAGTTTTAATTTAGACTATATTAGCTTAACTTTTATTGTTTTAAAATTGCAATTAAATTTAACTTGAATGTAAGGAGTGTTAGATTTGATTTCACAATATACCACCCTGTGTTTTTTTGATACAGGATGGGATATACCAACAAATATCTGGTCTGCCCCCAACGCCATTATCACCCTAACATCATTATACCTCCTCCACCACCACATCTCCTTTTCCTTCCTTCTGGAATTCCCTACATGAGGCAGGTTGATGTCCTGTGAAAAGCCCCATCTAAAACCGCTCTTGAAAATCTGGACAGAACCTAAATAGCTTATTTTCAGGCAAAATTTATGCACACAGGATGATCACAGGAAGAGAATTAATTGAGCTGTACACCATAAGTTCCAGATATCTCCTTTTTCTGAATGTGGAAAAATCAACCCTATGGATTATGCATGGGGGAAAATATATCCCTTTTGAGAGAACAGAATATTTAAGAAGCTCAGGTCTTATATTTAGGCACTAATTCCCACATCATTCAAAGAGAAATGGATGTAACACACTGCCTTGTGTGGCTATGAAGAGTGCAAAAGTGAGAAAGAGACGTAAGATTTGCATCGATAATTTCTCAGCTCAGTATCATTACAGGTGACACACTTTCTGCACTGAGCTGAAATTAAAACTGTTCTAAATATACCCTACGCACAATCCCTATAGGAGATCAAATGAGGAAGAGGATAGGCCTTTTGAAAATTGTCTCATATACATTTTCACAAAACTCCTATTTCTAGATGTGACAAGTACAGCAAATAGTCCCTGGCGTTTTATGACCAAGTCTACATAAATTATGCAACAGAGAGATGTAGGCAGGAGCAAATAGATTAAGGAGCTTCAAATTCAAGATTCCCATGAGATTTATTTTTGAAACGCCACTCAAGCCAAATAAGAATAGATTAGCTACTGAAAGCTTATCTTTTCGTTCACAGGCACTTAGACTGTTTGTGTGCCTACATCCCAATTTTTCAAAATATTAAGATGTTACTTCCAAAGATTAAAAATTAAACAGCCCATTATTGTTATCATTGTGCCTCTGGGAATTACACATGTACCTTCTCAGCCAGAGAGAAATCAAGATAGCACCCCTAGGTGTTAAGGTGAAAAAAAGAAGGATTCAAATAGTTTGTTGGCTCCAGCTCTCACTAGCAATTATATTTATATAAATATAAAAAACATGAATATCAGACAAGGGGATCTAATGCTTGGACTTCAATATCTCTCCCTACATTTACCTGCCTAACAACTAAATACTGCCAGAGAAGTCCTCCTCTGGAGAGATTCCATAGCCTCCAATGCTGCACAGATGAAAACTGGAAAACATGGGGGCAGGTAACATCAGTGTAGTAAATATGACAAAAGTTATTAATGAGGAAACACAGCTGTTTCCTTTTGCCTAAATCTACAGGAAAGGAGAAGACAATGATGCTAGGGGAAATGGAAAGAACAAGGATGAGGAGCAGACCAAGGGCAAAATGGATAGATTGTATCCTTAAAGTGACTGGCTTGACTTTGAAGGAGCTGGGGGCGGCCATGGCCATTGGGGATTATATGGCAGTGTAGACTAGTGTAATCCAGTTCAAAGCGATCAGATCCTGGGATATAGGGCAGTGTAGTTCCAACCTGAGACAAATGAGAATTAATCAGAATCACCCACTCCCCATTTAGTGTTCTCCAAATTTCCGGGCCCCTTTCACACTACACCACTAGTAGTATTACAACCATTTTAATAGCCACAGCTTCATCCAATGGATTCTTGGAATGTTTCTCTGAATGGGTATTTAGAATTCTTTATCAGAGAATTTTAATATCAAAATGATATAATTTTGCACTGTGAGGGTACCCCTGGGTAAACACTTTAATTACAATACCATTTTGGCTGTCACTTTTTGTCTTGGAGTATCATGAGTCTCAGATCTCATCTACACTGCCATATAATGAAGTTTCAAACTGCATTATATGGTCATTGTAGGCTCATATAATTCAGTTTTCATACATTGAACCACATTGTAGGAGTCTACCCTGATCATATAAGGCTGTTTCAAATTGGATGGTGCTCCAGTCATATTGAATACTGCTCAATATATGACCTTTTCCTGCTCTTTGAAGACTCTCATAAAACTGATTTAACTCTCTTGCTCCTGCACTATGGTCTCCTTATTTATATAGGATTTTTTCCCATCACCAATAAGCCTACGATCATGCCCAATCCAGCAAGAGGATTTTCTGCATGGAAGCAGATGTCTTTGCTCTAATTCCCAAAATTGGCACCATTTGCATATGTAACATGGATTGTGTGTCCCATCAGTCCCTTGGGTTTAGATTACATGAACAGTTCCAAAACACAGCATGAGAAGCCACAGTGCCAAGGACAGATTAAATGTGTATGAACTCCTGCCATGTTGTTCCTATTAGCATTTCAAGGATTACAGTGGCCTAAACTGAGTCCAAACCAAAGAAAAAACATTACTTCAATGTGAATTTGGTAAATGAAGATTTGCAAAAAAAAAAAAAGTCCCACAAGAAACCTCCAATTTAATGGTTCTACTCCAACTGGTGTCAACCATTAGCTGAAGGCCATTGTACTGTGATGACTTTGGGATACTGAGGTGAGAGAGAAGGCGGGTGATGCAGGGCATGGGGCAACAGGTTTCCCCTGCCCCCTGCAAGCCCTGCTAGATTTTCCATGATCCATGATGAATCAGGGGATTAATGAGATATGGTTGTTTAATTTTAAATAGAAAGATATTTATATTTTGAGTGCCATCACCTTGACTAGTTCATTGTAAAATAACTTCAATTCTGGATTTGCATTCTGACTTTTTGTTTTGTTTTGGTTTTTTTTTGTACAATGGAACTGAAACTCAATGTCCTCAACCTAAATTCCAAGGGATAGTCCTGACCAGTTACATTTTCTGCTTATTGACAGCTCTGACAAACTGCAGTGAATGGATGCAAACCATTAAAGTAACACATTGACAAAAACTATGCACATAGTGCAACAGATTTTTGATAGTGATGTCTGAGAGGTTTTGCTCATTTTCAAGATTAGAGTTTTGAATAAATGAACAAATCTTAAGAGTGCAAAAAACTGTTGCTTATTGCATAGACCAATACAAGTAGCAGAATAAGATTGTTTGTGTCTTTGTGATTGATTGTGCTTATTATCTGTGTGCTTAGCTTCATAAAAAGATAAGACACTAGTTTTGTGAAGACATATTTTTGAGCAAAAATGAAGAAAACACACCAAACCCCACGAGAACATATGATGTTTCAGTCTTATATAGACAAGGGAGCTGTCACAGAGAGTACAAAATCCTCCATAGTCTCTCTTACTGTGTCAAGATCTAGATCAAAATCTCTGTAACACTGAGTTTTTTCCATATTCCTGCTCCAGCAATTTTTAATACAGATAGATGTTTTGCACCATGTTTGCTGTTAGAACGCTTTAGGTGTGATATTTCATAAACTTCTGTAGATCTCAAAGGATGATGGTCCAAAGCATTTCAATTTTTTTAAACCAACTCCTTTCAAAATGCAGTCTATGCTATTTTATCTAGTAAGGCTGCAAGTAAATAGATGCAAATTAATTCAGTAAATCTGGAAGTACTGCATTCCAATATAGACAACGTTAGTGGAGACAAAATCCTACTGAAGCTAGAATGTCGGTCATGACTAAACCCCATTCCAGTGCATTGTAATGTCACTTTCCTACAAATATTATCTGGATCTAGCAAAGGCTAGATTGGCTGTGAAAGTTATATACAGAAAATTACATTTTCACCAAGAAAATGCAGGAGAAGCCTGCATGTCATCAAGCTCTTTGTACCTTGTGATAGCATCTGAAGTAGGCAGCGCGCTCATCTGAAAACTTTTCTATCCTTTTAGGTCCTTTGCTTGATGCTTTCTTGAAGACCAACCAACATCTCTGATATAGCTAGAAAGACAAACAAATGTGTGTGTTTTTTTAAAAAATAAAAAAGTTTTGAAAGTTTTCTCATTGATGTTTTATTTTAAAATATTATTTTTAAAACATCCTGCTTTGAGTTGGGTCCAGAACATAACCTCCAATCTTTCACAGGTGATTACTTAATTGAACACAATCTACTTTTGCACTTTGAACTCAGATTGGAACAATTGCAGTACCATAAGGATAAAGAGGGAAATGGGGGAAGAAGAAAGAAACTGAAACATTTTAAAACAGTTGAAAAATGGGATGTTAGAAGGACTGTCCCTGCCAAATAGGAGCAACGGGACATTATGAAATTCACATGTTTTCAATCACAAATTAGTTCTATCCCATCTGCATTCCTAAGGAGCCCCCAGTGATGTAATGGGTTAAACCCTTGTGCAGGCAGGACTGAAAACCAACAGATCGGAGCTTCAAATCCAGGGAGAGCATGAATGAGCTCCCTCTGTCAGCTCCAACTCCCCATGCAGGGATGTGAGAGAAGCCTCCCATAAGGATGGTAAAATATCAAAACATCCGGGTGTCCTCTGGGCAATGTCCTTGCGGATGGTCAGTTCTCTCACACCAGAAACAACTTGCAATTTCTCAAGTTGCTCCTGACACACAAAAAATCTGCATTCCTTTGGATTTTTTCTTTGAAATTCCGTATGAAATAAAAGTTGGGTATCTCTTGCCTAAATGTTTGGTATCAGAAGTATTTGGAGTTTGGGATCCCCCCCCCCACACACACACACTATTTTGGAATGTCCCTGTTGCATTATATGTGCATAATAATATATCTTGTATATAGGACTCAAGTCTAAACACAAAGTTCATGTATGTTTTCTGCCCACCATATACACATAGCCTGATTGTAATTTTATCCAATATTTAAAAATATTTTTGTGCATGAAACAAAGTTTTTGTGCACTTGAACAACCAGAAAGTAAAAGTTACTATTTCAGTCACCCATGTGAATAAATTTGGAATTTTTTTTGGGAGGGGGGGGGTCAGATTTTGGAGTTTCAAATAAGGAATGTTCAACTTGTATTTTTATTAATGGTGACCAAAACACAATTTTTATAATCAAAAAACATTTTTGCAAGTAGCATCCTGCAATAAGATGCTACCTATCTAACCAAAACAATTTTACCTACTATTTCCATAACTTTTTATCACAATTTTTAATCAAATAAAGTCATAATAAAATTTGGAGGAACCCAGAAACTGAAGGATAAATACATTCTAGCTGGAAAATTACTTTGGGGAGTGAAAATTAGGTCAGTTTGCATTAAAATGCAAATCAAATAAATCCCCATCCTTAGGGACAAGACATAGATTTTTCTATATTTTCCCAAGGGAGCAATAGAAGGTAAACAATAGAACAGCATAAGATTTAAATGATTACCAAATTGCTATATGAGCATTAGCCTTTCTGGAATCAATTGGAAAAATGCAAATGGTAAATATGTTAGTGTAACGTAATGTTCAGTCCCAGGAGAGACATGATGCCTAAGGAGTTCATTTTGTTGGAGGGGCTTGTGATTCCCTACCAATCTAATGACTGTGTAATTAAAGCAAACACTGCATCTTTCTTTCTCATCATGTATCCTTGAGCACTGAAAGCTGTATTTGATATTAACAGAATATTTTTGACTTAGGAGCAAAATTGGCAACAACAACTATGGTATTATAACCTTGGAATTCAAGGCTGGACTGTCAAGAGTTTGTTGGTTGAGCTTTTGGTTTATTTTCGCCATATTTAGTGTAGCATCATTTTCAGGTACAAGTTGAGTATCTCTTACCTCAAATGTTTCAGTCCAGAAATGTTTTGCTCTTCAGATTTTGGAATATTCACACATATATAATGAGATTTCTTAAGGATAGGACTCAAATCTAAACATGAAATTCATATACACCTTATACACATACCCTGAAGGTAATTTTTATGCATGACATTTTTTAAAAAAATAATAATTCTGTGCATAAAACAGAGTTTGTATATATCAAACCATCAGAAAGCAATGATATCATTATTTCAGCCATCCACATGAACAATTCCAGAGCATTCTGGATTTCCAGATAAGGTATACTCAATTTGTATTTCCATTTTCCTTGTGCTAGACCCACAGCAGAGTAATCATTGTGTATGGTGTGATGGTCAGATGGTCAAGTAAAACTGTACACTGAATACACTACACTGTAAGGATATATGTCTTTACTAAAATTCATCTTGAAGGAAGAAATTGATATGATTAGCCATTTTCTTCTTACTACAAGAAAGTCTTCAGAAACCATGCAGTCTTTACCATTTTCTCCTGGGATAGGATCTACAGTATTTCAGCACAGAAAATTCTGCTTTCTGTGCAGAAAATGTCAATATGCAAATTTTGAAAACTAAGCCTCCAACTACTAACATTCTCCTGCCTAGTTTAAAATTCTACCCATCCTGATAGTTGGAAAACACATTTCAATTATATTCTTGGAGTCACTGCATATCCAAGTAACTATGGTGGTTATCCATTCACCACTTCTCAACCAGATTTATCTTGGGGAAAAGGTGAAGCTTTCTCATCAATCCTTCTTTCCATTTCAGGTCAAATGTTTCAAAATCCAATTATCACAGGGCCAGAAAGTGAGGTGAAACCTTCTGAACAAGGGCACAGATCGCAAAACTCCATAGGGGTGTTAACCCTTCCCTGTGCTATCCAAAGCGGTGTGTGTATGTGTGTATATATATATATATATATATATATATATATATATATATATTAGGCCTGGGTAACAATGGAAAAATTTGTTTCTAAAATCGATTTGTATTTGGGGGGTTTTTTTGTTTCGATATTTAAAATAATTACAAAATTTTCCTTTTAAAAAGTTCGATATTTACGAAATTTCGTAAATGGTAAAAAAATAACGAATCGATTTCCGAAACAATAACGAATCGATTCGTTAATGGCGGACGCGACCGCGAAATACGCTAAAAAACCTCCAAAACCTTCTGAAGCTTCCCTCTCCCTCTGTTGTTGACTGTTGGTGTGATATTATAATTTTTTTTCACTAATTAAACCATAAAACTGGCCCAGACATGCGGAAATAATAACGAAACGACCTCAAAACAATAACGAAACGAATACAATATCGAAATACGAAGCATTTACAAAACGTTTTTGAAAATTCGTTTTTTTTAATAATTGCTCCAGAATGGTTCGTTATCGTTTTGTAATTGAAAAAATTAACGAATTATTAACAAATTACGAATTAACGAAACGAAACCGCCCAGCCCTAATATATATATATATATATATTTATATATATATATATATATATATATATATATATATATATATATATATATATGAAGTGTGTGTGTGTGTGTGTGTGTGTATGAAAGAAGTCACATTTTTAAAATGTACCTGTTCTGATTTACAAACAAATTCAACTTAAGACCAAACTTACAGAACCTATTTGTTCATAACTTGGGAACTGCCTGTATATCATCCCAAGAGAAGAATAGTGATACTTGATTATAAAATAATGTCTAGGGATTAAAACAAGTTCAATTTCCAAGTGGGGCAATGGTGGTCCAAAAACTGCTGTAATCTCCAGGTGCCTGGCATTTTGTTCATCGACTAGGCAAATGAAGAGCACTGCAAATACTTAGGGAATCCAGCTTGTGCAGGAACAGTTTGTATCTTATTAAAATAACTTTAGGATTATTTTCAAAAGGTTAAGCATGATTGTTTCAATCTGCAATGCCAGCAGCCAAAAGGTAAACATGCCAATTTGTCAAGTGTAATAAAAATACTGCTAAAAATTGCCTTCAGACAAAGTGAAATTAATTTTTTACTCTCTCAGTAAAGCTACAAATTGTAACTCCAGAGGCAGTTGCTCTTCATTTTAAACCTTTGGTCAGAGGCCACTGTTTATACTAACAATTATATTAATGTGTGTTGCATTTAATGAAAAATTAGAAGATGTGGCATATATTAGTTTACTTTTTTTTCAAAGATCCATTCCTCCAGAAAGCTCCTTCACACTGTCCTCACCAAAATAATTGGGGAATAATAAAGTGCACAACTGATGGGTAGCTTTCACTCATTTCATTGGATTCATAATAGAAGAGCCTGCCCTCTTCAGTTTGGCTTGCCATGTATGCTATTGAAAACTTTGCATTCCACATCTCAGCAGTTCTGCTTTGAAATGCAGACAAAAAAGAGATTGAACAATCAAGGCTGGCTTTGTCAATAAGAAGAATAATAGAATCACATGTTTATAGAGTTGGAAGGGGACTCATAAGCCATCAAGTCTGTAAGCACTGTTCAGCAGTGGGATATGCTGCCTTGGAGCATGGTAAGGATTTCTTTTCAGAAGGTTTGCAAGCAGAGACTGGATAGCCATCTGTCAGGGGTGCTTTGATTCTGTGTTCCTGCATGGCAGGGGATTGGACTGGATGACCCTTGTGGTCTCTTCCAACTCTATGAGTCTATTATCCTAAGTCCAACCACCTGCTCAATCCAGGAACTGAAACTGGAGCATTCCAAAAGACAGCTATCCATCCATTTTTTAAAGGTTTCCAGGGAAAGAGACAACTGCACCTTTCTAGATAAGACAACTGCACCTTTCTTGACAAACTGGTTTTATTTTAAGTTCTTTCCAAGATTCAGTCAACATTTTAAAACTATTAGACCAGGTAGTGTTGTTGTTCACTACCGCTGAGTTGGTTTTGATTTAGGACAAACCCATGAGACTTCCAAGACATCCTATCATCGAGAGCCCTGCTCAGGTCTTGCGGACTCATGGACATGGCTTGCTTGCTTAATTCCATCAATCTGAAATCTTTTCCCCAGTGGCTTCTGTCTTACCAAGCATAGTTGAATTTTCTAGTGAGTCTTCTGGCCTGCACCCTCCTTTCTGTAGCAGCCCTTTAGATATTTAAGGTGCAATCATGGCACTCTTTAGTCTTCTTTTCACCTGGCTGGACATGC